AGGAAGATCATGGCCTGTTGATTTTCTAGAAGCTTGTTGCAGATGGCTTTCCTGATGTGAACTAGGCTATTCTCATTGGAGGAGGAGCCCTGGGCCTCACTGAAGCTGGGAATGGCTGCTGTTGTCATCAGGGAAGCTCTGATCTTTACCGTGAGCCTCACTTCCTGGCTCCAGTATAGAGCCCTCAGCCTGGTGGCACAAATCCTTCATCTCACCAGCATGGGTTTTCTGGCCTCCGCCACTAGCTTTTGGATCTTCCAGGTGCAGATTCTCAATATGGCCAAGCATGAGACATTGTCTGGGCTCTAGGCCACTGGCTGGACTTGTGGAGGGCATTGCCTTGGACTCTAAGCCTTTAGCTGGATTGTGTGGGAAACTGCTGGGATCCAGGCCCTCCACTGGATTCTTCGGGCCCTTAGTGTCTGGTTAATCTTTTTGCATTCCTTTGTGTTTAACATTTTGGGTAATTACTGTACAATAATCCTATAAACTATCTATCCTGTAATAAATGTATTCTCTTGCCAAAACCCTGACTAGAACATCCTGTCCTCCTTGAGAATATACCCTCTCTTGTGTAGAGCTGTCATATGGGATAGTGATAGCCATTTGAGCCTATGTATAATAATCACAGTCCTCATTTTTTACTGCATTATAGGACACCTCCATTAAACTATGAATCATTGATTTCTATGGATTATTTCTTCTGCAGTTAGCCTTCTGTATATACTTCAAAATACTATATATTTGATAGTCTTTCTACAAATAAGCAGCACTCACTGAGAACAACCCTCCAAATACTTGTATAGCAAAATGTATAGTACAAAATGTATGGCAAAATGTATAGTATAATATAGGGCATTATGTGAAGCTTCTACCTTCGTTGGGGGAGGAAAGAGATTTTCATCAATGGAGATTCTCCTTCCTCAGTTCCATCACAGCCTGGTTCATCATGCAGGGTGGCAGCAATGGCTCCTGGCTCTCGTTTCCTCTTAGGTGTGTAATGTTGAGTAACTCTCCTTAGGTTGCTGTGGATTTCTCAACTAATTTAACATTAGATTTGCCTTCAGTTATGTCAATTATTATTATTACCGGAGTAAAACAACAGAGGGCATGTACCATACTCCCACTTGTCTGCCGCGTCTGTCCTGTCACAACTGCCTTATGCTCAGAAATGGGAATTTTCCTTAAGGAAAAGAGCCATCGCCCTTCTGAGATTCATCCGTGACATGGATTTGCACTTCCATTTTCAATGTGCCTTTGAAACACAGATGCTATGTTTAAAAGACAAACTGATCCTTTTGTTTCGGTTGCATAAATGGGTATTGAAAAAGTGAGCAGATCTTGAACCATGAGAGTTCAATACTTTGCAGAAAGTGGTCAGCTTATCAATTAAAACTAGAAACTCATATCCTCATTGTTTCTATTTCTCATAGTAATAAAGAAAAATGTAACAAAAAATGACACAGTATTGACCTCCAAATTCATTCTGAAAGTTCCTTATGCTATGTTTATAAGATGAGGAATTATCAATAACAGTAGAAATTTGCTGGTTCTAATAGCTAATAATTTATATTTACAAGTCACAAGTGAAGTAGGATATTCTTTATAGTCAATAGATCTGATTCTCCTATCACATACTTTACAATTTTGCTGTTTGTGTAATACAAGTTTTTCCCACACTATTTTTTTATATTTTACAAATAAAATGGCATTTGTGCCATTAGCAGTGAAGGAATGCCAGAAAGTCCAAACTATTTAGAGAAAAGGGCCAAAAACCAAGGCATTCATAATTAAACTAGCATATCTCTTCTGCACTTAATTACTGTTTCCAATCAACGTTCAATGAATTCCAGTTATATGTCTTGCATTGTGCTTGGCATTAAGTGGAATCAAAGAAAGTTAAGACCCTCAAAGAGCACAGAAACAGATGGAAGGACTATCATAAAAGGCCAACCAGAATAAATAATTAACACTTAATGGAAGTTACTCAAATTCAGAGGAAGAAGAAATTCTTTTAAGCTAAATGATGCTGAAAGCATTCATGGAAAAAAGTATGGGAGTTTGCTTAAAAAATGAAAAGAACTTTGATGTGCAGAAAACAGGAGGGTGGAGTTTCCCATCTAAGTGGGGAAAATAGATGGCATAGAAATGCAGTCAGACTGAGAGAATAGTTGGGAGTTTCTAGGTCTCTGGACCAGATGGTAAGGGGAGGTGACTTGGGAGAGTTAGGACTGGCATCTTTTGAATGCTCTTAGAGGTTAAAGTGGATTGTATGTGTAATCATAATTCTCAGTATTATACACTGTAGTCTTTCTTCTTTAAACATGAATTTTATTATTTTTGTAAAATATTTGTTTATAAAAATTTGTAAGAAATTGGCATAGATTTTTCCATAAGCTTCTTCTCCTTCCCAAGACCTGAACACACTGCTTCTCTGTTTATTATCTTGCATTAGTGTCATACATTGGTTATAGTTGATTAACCAACATTGACTTGCTGTTACCTAAAGTTAATAGTTTTCATTAGTTTGCTCTGCAGTGTACATCCTATGGGCTCATCACAGTATCATATAGAACAGTATCACTGCCCTAAAATTTCCCTATTCATTACTCTCTTCTCCCCAACCCCTACCATCCACCAATCCTTTCCAGGCTTCATACTTTTGCCTTTCCAAAAAGTCATATATATAAGTCACATAATATGTAGAGGCATTTTAGATTGTCTTCTTTTACTTATCAGTATGCATTTAAGAATCCTCCACTTCTTTTCATAGTTTGATAACGCATTTTGTTTTGTTTTTTGGTACTGGGTATCGAACTTGGGACCTTGCACTTGTGAGGCAGGTGGCAGCACCACTGAGTTAAATCCCCAGCCCACTCATTTTATTTTTATTGCTGCATAATGTTCCATCACTTGGATGTCCCACAGTATATTTATATTTATACATGCACAATTGCAGGACCTGTTGGTTGCTTCCCAGATTTGATAATTATGAATTTAACTGCATAAATATTCATGCATGTCACACTAAAGAGACTCTGTTGCTCCTCCTGGCAAAATGTGATGTCTGTTTTTCTGCCTTTGAAAGCCAGGCTTAATCATTTGCCAAGTTTTAGCCTAAGACTCATTAGGAAGCATTACAAGTGCACACTGAGACTTTCCTTCTTTCTCTTCTTAAAACTCTGAAACCATTGTGTGAGGCATCCTGCATTAATCTGATGAATGATGATACATGAAGCCCAGTTGTTCGGTGGTCCTGGCTGAGACCCAGCAAGGCCACCCTCAGTTTCTCAGACACAGAATGGTCTTTCTGTTGGCCTCAAGTATGTGAGACACAACAGTGATTAGCAGAACTGGTTCAGACAGGACTCATGTAGCTCTCTCAAGAAACCCTCTGCTAATTAATCATTATTTTAAATCACTAAGTTTTGGGTGATCTCCAGTGAAAGCTAACATATAGATGACATGTTGAATATGAACTTGTTTGTACATTAGGTAAGTTAGATATCAGAAATAAAAAGATCATTTAGGAAGCTACTGTTACTAGGCTATGGGAGAGATAATGAGGATTCACATTTTTATGATCAGACAAATCATTAGACGACAACACAAAAAGCTGTGGAAAAGAACATTTATCTATTTTTATATAAATGTGTTTTAATTGGCACATAGTCATACTATATAAGGGCTGCAGCATGGCATTTCAATACATATACAGTGGTATTTCAGTTCACAAACTCAATTTTGGCAAGGATGGCTATGTTTGTGTTCATGTGGGAGAGATGGCCACAGTCTTGTTTGTCATCTGATGCAGAGTTTCCAAACAAAAAAAAAAATGGCTAAACACTTCTGTTTGTGAACCAAATTTTCTCCAAACAAAAGTAAGTATGAATGGAGATAACACTGTATATAATGTGTAATTGATCAGGTCAGGGTAACTGGCATATCTATCTTTCCAGACATATATCATCGCTTTGTACAGGGAAAATTCAAAATCATGTTAGGTGGTTTGATGTAATTGCTACCAATTGTTATTTTACTGTGCTCAGCAATAGAACATATGTTATTTTTCCTATCTAAATCCAACCACATACCGTTAACCATACTTTTTCTAACCCTCCTTCACGCCCATCCCCGCTATGTCTCTAAGCCCTGTTAACTCTTCTGTTCTCTTCTTCTTAATTTTACCTTCCACATGTAAGTGAGAACATATGGTACTTGTGTCAGTGTGCCTGGATTTTTCACTTAATATTATGCCTTCCATTACCATCCCTGTGCTGCGATTTCATTTTTATGGATAAATAATATTCCATTGTGTGGACATACCACATTTTCTTCATCTATTGATAGACAACTGGGTGGACTTGATATGTTGACTATTGGGAACACTGCTACAATAAACATGAGTGCAGATGTTTATTTGATATACTGATTTCACTTTCTTTAACTACATATCCAACAGTGGGATTGCCGGGTAATATCATTGTTCTTTTTCTAGGTTTTTATTTGGAGGGTAATATTCTATGCTAATTGTACTAATTTACACTCCTACCGACAATATATGAGAGTTCTTCTTTCTCCTCCTCACCAGCAGTTAATTTTTGTGTTTTCATTCTAACTGGGGTGAGATGACATTTCACTGTGGCTTGGATTTGCATTTCCCTGATGGCTTATAATGATGATGCTAAGTACAATTTCACATACACTTTGGTCATTCATATATATTCTTTGAGAAATGTATGACCACTCACTCCATTTTTAAATCAAATTTCTTTGCTTGTTGGCTGTTGTTAGAGGTCCTTATGTACTCTAGAAATTAATCCCTTGTCAAAGAGTTTGCAAATATTTTCTCTCATTCTAGATGTTCTGTACATTGTCTTTTCACTCTGTTAGATCATTTCTTTTGCTATTCAGAAATTCTAGTTTTCTATGATCCCATTTGTCAATTTTTGATTTTATGACCTGTGCTTTTTGGACTATTTCAGAAAAAATCTATGCTCATTTAATGAAGAGATGATGACGAGTCTGACGTGGAAGTCTTATCTTTGCCCATGTGGCCTTACTCTGTACCGTGTTCTGTGACACAGGCTGAGTCCTGGTGGAAGAAACTTCCTAAAGATGACTCAGAGGCATGTGTCTGAAAAGGGTTGCTGTATTCCTGTTGGAATGAGTATTGGAGCAATTGGTGGGGTTGTTGGAGGTCATGAGTTTTAATGAGGTAGCAAGGAAAGGAAGTCTGCAGGAATGTCCCCCCTGTTTTTGTTGTTGTAGTTTTTGAGACAGTGTCTCACTAGGTGGTCTCTAACTGGTGAACTCTTGATCTTCCTGCCTCAGGATTTGAGGATTACAGATCTGCTGGGATTACAGGTATATGCCACCACACCAGTTCGTGTCTTATTTTTGAACATTTGTTTTATTTTATTTTGGTTTTTTAACAAAAATCTATGCTCAGACCAATGTCCCACAGCATTTCCCCTGTATTTCCTTCTAATTGAAATGTGAGTGTGAGGTCTTACGTGCGAGCCTTTGATCTATTTTGAGTTCATTTTTTTTAATATGCAAAAGGGGTTAGTGTCTTCTGTATATGAAAACCCACTTTTGATAGCACCATTTATCAAAGAGGCTTTTCTTTCACCAATGTGTACCCCCAATGTCTTGTCAAAATCAACTCGTTGAAAATATCTAGGTTTGTTTCTGGGATCTGTGTTTTGTTCCATTGCCTATGTGCCTGTTTTTATGCTAGTACCATACTGTTTTGGCTACCATAGATTTGTAGTATATTAAGCCAGATATTATAATGCCTGCAACTTTATTCTTGCTCAAGATTGCTTTAGCTATTCAAGGTCCATTGTGGTTCCATAAGAATTTTGGACTGTTTTCTCAAGTCCTGTGAAGAATATCACTGATAATTTGACAAAAATTGCACTGACTGTATAGATTGCTTTGGATATTTTAACAGTATTAATTTTTCCAATCCTTCAACATGGAATCTGTTGTGTGTGTGTAAACACCTATGTGTGTCCTTTCAATTTCTTTTATCCATGTGTTGCAGTTTGCATTGTAGAAATTATTTGCTTCATTGGTTGAAATTACTTAAAGGTACTTTATTCATAAGATATGGGATGCTATCTTGATTGTGTTTTTAGCAATTTTGTAACTAGTATATAAAAATCTATTGAATTGTATGCATGTATTTTTTATTCTATAACCTTTCTGAAGTTATCAGTTCTAAAAGTTTTTTGGTGAAGCCTTGTTCAATTTTATTGAATGCTTTCTCTGCATCCATTGAAATTTTCATATGGTTTTATCCTTTCTGTTGATGTGCTGTATTATGTTAATTGATGTGAATCCTTCTTTTATCAGAATAAGACTCACTTGCTCACAGAATGTAAACTTTTTATGTGTAAGTGGATTCAGCTTGCTAATATCTTTGTTGAGCATCTTGCTGATTAAGGATATTGGTCTGTAGTTTTTGGTTTTTGTTTTTCTTTCATTGCTGTTGCTGCTGCTGCTTTTGTTTTTATTGTGTCCTTATCTGGTTTTGGTGTTAGGGTAATAACGGCCTTATAAAATGAGTTGGTAGGTTTCCCTCTCAGTATTTTGAACTAATATGAAAATAATTTTTGTTCAAAAGTATGATAAAATTCAGCCATTAAATCATCCTGTGTGGGCTTTCATTGCTGGGAGACTGTGTTACTGACTGGGTCTTGTTACTGCTCTGGTCTGTGGGATTTGGTTTCCAGGACATGCTGTTTGCTGAACCTGGCTGCTTCCCAGAAGCCTAGGTGCACAAGGTTGTAAGGCTATCTCCATGCCTTGGGGAGGGTACAGCATGGCCTGTGTGCTTTCTTTTAGGCAATGCTGTAGCACAGTAAGGCAGCAGCTTCCCAAAATAGGCTCAGGTCCTCTGAGTGGAGCAGGTTCTCCAGCACTACATGTCTCAGGTGTCTGTGGCAGATGTGATGCCTCTACTCTCCTAGCAAAGTCCTCCTTGGTTAGGGGCTGATCTCCACGATGGAATGAAAAATGCTCATGGTTCCTTTCTTTATAAGGCTATTGTGTATGTCTGTGCTCTGCACTATCCAGTCCTATACTCACTTTGGTGCCTTATTCTAAATAGGTGGAGCTTTTCTCCATGCTTACTGCCTACAGCTGGGGTGGAGTGATAAAAGCAGACCCTTGGCCTCTTGGCTAATATGGATCCAGAGATTTAGTCATGGGTTCTGGCCTGGAGAGCCCCTGTTGGGCTCTCCCTAGCACTGGTTTAAAGTAAAAGGCCTGATATTAAATACTTCTCCCTCTCCCAGGTGGAAGATACATTTACATTGTACTGCTTAGCATTATAGAATGGCTTACTCAACCGTTTCTGTCCTGCCTTCTTAAACATATTTTTCCTTCTTATTATACTAAAACTAGGCAATATGGTCTCTCACCTGGCTTTCCTGCATCTTGTCAAAATAGATGGGTGCATGAATAGCTGTTCAAATTGACATCTTTGTGGGGACATGATTAGTGGAGGACCTTAGCCCAACTTGTTCCATCCCATTTATGCATTTATTCACGGAGTTTAATGCATCCTTCTTAAATTGAAAAACAAGCAACTATCAATGTACCATATAAATAATAAACTCATTTTATTTAAGAAGAAATATAGACCTATGATAAGAGTATTTCCATGGTTCTTCTGCAATCATTCTGACCATTGATTTTTTTTCTCCATTTCCTATTGTATGAAAGCGTTTCTCCCTCTCCAGAAATAAATATTTCAGAGTAAGCATAATGTATGATTTATGAAAGAATGTTTGGATGCTCACTATACTTTTTCCTAGAGGCCAAAGCTTATTCACAAGTCAGGAGAGCAGAATTTGAAAAGTAGCATGAAGTGATTTATAGAAAGCTGACACAGACACTTTGGGTGAAGGCAGAATTAGTCTTTGGATGAGGAAGACCAATAAGGCAAGATAAACATGGTAGGAGGAGAACATAGTGAAAGGTAGTGATTTACAACTGCTGTTCTGGAAAGGGAGATTTGAATCATTCAGGAAGTCTAATGAAGACAATTCTGATATCCTGGAAGGAAGACTGAGCCTCATTAAAGAGAAATTTTCAGACAGACAATAGGCAGATAAATGGAATATTTTGGTGATAAAGTGATTTGTTAGTGAAAGCTCACCCACTGGGTCACTGGTTCAGATCTTGGGTTTGAGAGTAGTTAGTCCTTCATCTTACACTGCCTGGAATGCCTTCCTCCATGTAGTAGTCGCTCCAGTATCACCTATCACAGAGACTTCCCTTGAGTACAGATTCTAAAATGCTCCCCAGCCTTGGCAGATACAGCCCCTGTCCCATACCCTGTTCTATTTTTCTTCACAATTATCTTTTCTATTATTTCTTTTATGTTATTTTGCTTACTTTTCTCTGTCATATTATAAAAAAATACAAGATCTACAACAACAAGTACATGATTTCCTGATGCAACCTCAGTTCCTGGCCTTAGGTACTCAAAAAAATGTTTTAGAATCACACAGCAAACCAAAGAATAGCAAGTCATTGAATATAAATAAGTACAGCAGGACAGGGCATGGAGCCTCTGTTAGGAGAGGCTCAGATCCCAGTGTTCTTGCAAACTACATGAATGTAGACAGCATATATGCATTCATCTATAAAAACAAAGACACACAGAATTGGAGTCTGGCATGATTGTGGAAAGGGAATAATAATTAAAATGTGACCAACTTTGTTGATTCTGACAGGGTATGATGAAAGTACCTGCAGAGCTGAAAGGAAGCACTTGCTCTGAAGATGCCCTAGCTATCTTAAAGGACAGATTCCCAGATGGCATGTATTGTTCTGAATCCCTATTCCCAACGTCTCACCAACCAGGGGAGAACAACACATGCAGCAGAAAGACTAGACTTCATGCCCTTCACTTCCTCCTCTCTTCTCTATTTACAAACACTTTATTTCCATTTTTTCATTTTCTCATATTTTTTCTTTTCCCTTATTTCCTTTCCCCTACTCTTCCCACTTCCACTACACCTTTAGCCCTTTTCTTCATATTTTGCATCATCAGTTATACCATTAGGATCTTAGGTACCATTGTAGTTTTTCACACCAGAGAAATTATTCAGTATTTACATGTGTGACTTATTTCACTTAAGAATATATCCTCAATATGTATCCATTTTCCTACGAATGACTAATTTCTCATTCTTTATGGCTGAGTAGTATTCTATTTTATAGAAAGACTACATCATCTTTATCCAGTCTCCAACTGATGGGCAAGTGGGCTGTTTCCAAGTTTTAGCTTTTACAAACCGTGCCACTATAAACATAGGTGTGCATATATCACTGTGGTATGATTCTTTTAATTCTTTTGAGAAGATACCCAGCAGAGGGATGGCTGGGTCAAATGGAACCTCTAGTCCCAGCTCTTTGAGGTATTTCCATATTGACTTCCATAGTGGTTGCACCAGTCTGCACTCCCATCAACAGTGGAGAAGGGTTCCTTTCTCCCCACAACCCCACCAACATTTGTTATTGTGTGATTTCTTGATAGCAGCTATTCTTTGTGGGGTGAGGTGAAATCTCAGTGTTGTTTTCATCTGCATCTCTTGAATGACCAGTGATGTGGAACATTTATTTATATATTTACTTGACGCTTTTAATTTTTTGTCTGAGAAATGTCTGTTCATTTAAGAAGCCCATTTTTTAATCGGGTCTTTATATTTTGGGGGGCTGATTTTTCTGAGTTCTTTATATATTCTAGATAATAGTCCTTTGTCTGAAGATCATACATCCTGACCAAGTCAGATTTATTCCAGGGATGCAAGGATGGTTCAATATATGTAAATCAATAAATGTGATACATTATATTAACAGAATCAAGTACAAAAACCATATGATCCCCTCAATAGATGCAGAAAAAGCATTTGGCAAAATTCAACACCCATTCATAATAAAAACCCTTCAAAACATTGGAATAGATGGTCTATATCTCAATTTAATAAAGGCTTTCTATGAAAAATCAACAGCCAACATCATATTAAATGTCCAAAAACTGAAAATCTTCACGTTAAAATCAGGAACAAGACAAGGATGACCATTATCACCACTCCTCTTCAATATAGTTCTGGAAACATTAGC